CTCTACTCTACTCTACTCTACTCTACTCTACTCTACTCTACTCTACTGCAAAATCCCCCTTCCCTCCCCAACCCACTAATCTCTTTTCAGCTCATTCTCCTGTGCAGGGCAATCAAAGAAGACACAACCGATCAGCTGGGATTTGATTGGAGGCAGAGAAGAGATGGGGTTGGTAGGGCCAGTCAGAGGTGGGATTTGCCAGTTCTCTGAACTACTCAAAATTCCCGCTACCGGTTCTCCAGAACTGGTCTGAACCAGCTGAATATCACCTCTGGGTGCTGCAAACACAGGGTTCATATATGGCATGTCAACTTCTAAGCTAAAGAGTTGTGTTGGTTGAATGTTCTCCCAGGTCTCCTACACAATTGGGATGCTTGGTGAAACTCAAGTCAAGAGTCAACCTCCTTCATCCATGAGTCTTCTTTGTCCTTACCTGTCCCAGGAAGTCATTCTTGCCTACCATGTCCCAATCCCAGACTTCTACAACAAGGGGCATCTCGGAATCAGCCCCATCTTCCAGGACAAACTCCAGCATTTCCTCCCAACGTGGGAAACGGGTCTTCTTGATGATCTGAAGAGAGGGAAAGGTGAGTTTTCTACTTAAAATCTTGGGCTCCACCAGTTATTAACTTATGACTGGCTGCTTAGCTGATTTACAGGAATAGTTTATGCTTCCGCTGCTTTTCGTTTAAGGTGCTTTTTCATGGTTCCTGGCTTTGTTTGGTTATGTGTGGTTTTTTTTTAATTGAAGTGGGAAATATTGGCCAGTCCAAGAATTAATAAATAATGATGGACGTTCCTTGAAGACGCTGCTTCTAACAGTGCCCATCTGCTTTGCCATGAAGATGAGCATTGATCTGGAAAAAGGTTAGATTGGAGAAAACACATCTAGTAGAATCTTTGAGAAACTTATTCTATAATATTTTTTTTTACTGGAAATATTTTGGACTTCTGGGCATTCAACTCCTTAAAGCTATGGCTTTAAAGAGTTGTATGCTCAATGGATCTCCTGGCCAGTGGATCTCTTCCCAACCATTGTGGCTTCTTGTAGGTTCCTCTGCCATTCAGAAGCTACCCAACATCTCTGCCCTAGCCTGCAAAGCATATCCAAAAATACTCACAGCTGTTTCCAGGATCTGTCCATTAAATAGCACGCGGGCAAAGGGATCTGAAGTTCCTGAGAGATCACGTGGTGCTAGATCTCTAAGGGCAAGAAGGCAAGAGTGGATCAAGGGCAGGAAAAAACAGATCAAAAGCAGGAAAGCAGGAAAAAAATCGCACCGTCGTAATATTTTTCCCAAGAATAAGCCAGTCATCAGTGGATAGACCTTTGGTTGTGATTCATTCCAGTGAAGACCTAGTAAAACCATCATTTTCTGTTGCATTGCAAACCTTCTCAGTTATTTGCAAACAGGATATGGATCCTAGCTTGTTTAGAAATGTTTAATCAGTTTTCCAGTTTGCATATAATAGAAATGGCCTAACTTTCAAAGGACAAGAACAAGCAACACAGCAGCGAAGGAGAATAAGTTCTGATGTAAGAACATTACATAGAATTTTAGCTTAGTTGAACAAGAAGGCTGGAAAATCTTGAGGTCATCTCCATGAGTGATTGCAAGTTATTGGTGGAAAAACCAGGTTTGATCTCCATCAGTTGTTCCTGTCAAACCAAATGGATTCGCCATTCACTTTCCAATGCTATCTCCCACCTCTCGCACAGGGGTGGGATTCTACCAGTTCACTAGAACTGGTTGTTAACATTCTAAGCAGTTCGGAGAACCAGTTGTTAGAAGAAATTACTGGCCTAATCCTGTAAGGGAAGCAGGAAGGAAACATTCTGGTGTTGCTGACAGAAACTGCCTCTCCGTTAACCCTTATTACATTCTTGGCAGGACTAGACTTCTTGTCTCTGGAACTTCTCTGGAGTTTTTTTCTCCTGGTACTTTGCTTCTTTGGAGTGGCCATTCAAAGTTACAATGGCCCTGAAAAAAGTGACTTATGACCATTTTTCACACTTACGACTGTTGCAGCATCCCCTCAGTCAAGAGAGGCCAGGCGAGGAGATGTGCGCCTCGATGTGAGGGATATTGAGTTGGCCACGCCCAGCCAATAACATGACCACCAAGCCACGTCCACCCAGTCACATGACCACCAAGCCACGCTCACCAACTAAGCCACGCCCACAGAACCAGTTGTTAAAAATTTTGAATCCCACCCCTGCTCTCGCACTGCCAAAAATGTTCACAGGATTATTATTATTTTTTTTAAAAAAATCATAAACTGTTAATTATCTCACTTTCTATAGGAGACGGAGAGAAAAATAAAAAAATAAAATAAAAATCACACTCCCTACAGCAACGTCGACACCTTTCTATTACAACACCTTCTGCATTTTCACGGATGGGGTGGCATTAGCAAACCTCACACCCCTTGATCACTTGTCTAACTTGGGGGGGGGGGGAGAGCTGGCAGATGGTTCTGCTCAGGTAGGTTCTTGATAGGGCTTCAAAAATTTTAGCGAAGGGTTCTCTGCTTGGTTGCTGGGTGGGCGTGGCCATGGTGGGCTCCAGGCTCTCTGGAAGGCAGAAACGGGGCCCATTTCCGGCCTTCCTGAACTCCCGGGAGGGCCATTTTTCACCTTCCCTGAGCCTCCATGCGGACCCTGCACTTAAATGGGCCACATGGGGAGTCCTGGGAGGGGAGGGGTGGGCGGAGCCATCCAGGAGTTGGATTTGGGGGTCTCCAAACTGCACAGAATCTTAGCTAGGGGGCTCTCCCGAACCCCTGCAAACCACCAACAGGGTAGATGGGCAGATGGATGGATGGGTGGATGGATAGATGATAAATAGCTAGCTAGCTAGCTAGAGATAATTAGTTAGTTAGTTGGTTGGTTGGTTAGTTAGTGTTAGTTGGATAGATAGATAGATAGATAGATAGATAGATAGATAGATAGATAGATAGACAGACAGACAGACAGACAGACAGACAGGAGCCATGGTGGCGCAGTGGTCAGGATGCAGTATTGCAGGCTAACTCTGCCCACAGCCAGGAGTTTGATCCTGACCAGCTCAAGGTTGATTCAGACTTCCATCCTTCCAAGGTCAGTAAATGAGGACCCGGATTGTTGGGGTTTGCAACAGGCTGACCCTGTACACCACTCAGAGAGGACCGTAAAGCACTGTCAAGTGGTATATAACTGCTATCGGTATCGCTCTTATTTCCAGGGAAACACAGCCAGCCTCCCATTCCCCCTGTAGATCTACCTTCTGTCTCTTACTTTACCTCGCTTCAAGGACATGGCAGCAAAGCAACCGTTGGTGAGCTTCCTCCACCACCTGCAACTCCAGCGAGATTTCCCCTTGCACCTCCTCGTTGGGGTCCACGGGGCTCAGGTTGATCCAGCTATCGATTCCTGCCATGAAGAGAAATTAGGGGCCACCTAGTTTCTGTTTCATCATATCCTCGGCGAGTTCCTCCCTTTCATAGTTGCATTGAATCTGCCCAACACTCCATCCTTTCCCCCTACTCCAAATACTGCACCTTGGTGCATGAATGGCTTCATTTGGGACCCTGCAACTTAACTTCAAGGAACTTTCCAAGAGCAGCAAAAGAAGGTTCATTCAAACACAAGACTCTGGTCCTGTGATGACCCGGAGTGTAACACAAACGTAACAAAATCCAAAATGTAAATAAATGTCCTTTAATGCCTCCAACTTGGCCCCACTGTTCAATAATTCTCAGTTGGGGATAAAACGTACTCAAAAATAGTCTTCGAAAGAAAGCAATACAGTCCGAACTTAATGAGCAGATAGAGGTGAAATAAAAAACTAAAACAAACTACAATGAAGGAATTTCCACAACAGAACAGGAGAAATATTTACCAACTTCAAGGAGATAACAAGGCACAGTCTGTTGGAAGGACACCAACTAAGATAACTTCAGCCCAAAATAAAACACGCTTTGCTTCTGGCAACGCTGTGTTGTAATTGTCTCTCTTATATACTATTCTCCCCAGCTGCAACCAATGAGGAGATCATGGCCGCTTCCTCTCTTGTAAGCCAAGTTGTTTCCTTCTCCATTCCCCCCTGCATGTCTTAGGATGCAGATGGGATGGGCCTGGTTCTTCCTCTGACTGCCCAGCCGGCCTCTGCCCTTCCTCAGCTTTCTCCACAACATCCGGATCCACACCTCCATTCCGTCGGCTGTTCCTCCTCTCCCTCAGAGTCCAACTCTATCAAGGGCATGACAGGTCCACTAAAGTTTGGATGCTAAATTTGCACCCAATAAGGGTCAATGGGAATTCAGGAGGAGTTGAGTTCAGACCATTTGTGGCAATGGAATGACTCTAAGCTGATAACATGCTTAACTCCGCCCCCGGTTCCACGTGCTCTTCTCCCACATCCCCTATCTAAGCAGAGCAAACTCTTCTTAACGTTGCAAGATGAATCAAGAGCCTTGTGTTAGTTAGTTTAAGTTCTTGTCATGGCACCTCGTACAACGAAATTAAACGCAATCCTTCGGTCTACATTATATATAAAAAATAAAGCAAAAACACACATCCTTCCCTTTCTATACAATTGAATTGAAAAGCCCTGATACTGCATTAGTATTGACCTTTTTAAATTTAATATTTACTACATAATTAATATTATGTATGTACATCGTTAATAAAATGTAGTGTATATTGGAGATGGAGACCCTTTGAGAGCCGGTTCTCCCACCATAGAGTCTTCTCCTAGCGTGGCCTCCTTTTTCCTCTACCTGTCCTCACCGAAAACCCTATCAATTGTGGATCCATCTGGAAAACCTGCCCCTTGCTGTAGAGTCCCCTCCTGGTGCACCGTGCTTCCCCTCCCCCCACACCATCTCAAAATTGTGGCACCGACTAGCAACAGGGAGCCGAGGGGTGAAAAGAGCTGCATGCAGCTCCGGAGCTGCCGGTTGTCAACCCCTGTTCTAAGTCTTAAGTCTCTCAGTGCTGTCACCAAGGACAGCATCCTTCAGGAGTAACTCCCAGGCCACTCACTTACCCCTTGGCTGGGATGAAATCTCGTCTTTGCTCAGGGAGATTTTGCCAATGACATCATCATGCCTGCAAGAGAAGGAAGCCGAAGGAGAGACCTGAGATCACAAAAGTTTTGCCGGGGGAGAGAGAAAAAAATGAATAAAACAATACCTTTGTTCCCTTCCTTCATTCTACAACTACTCTGCACTTCATGGTCTACATGGGGCTACTCTTGAAGAGTATCCAGAAGCTTCAGTTAGTATAGAACGCAGCTGTCTGGGCAGTTCTTGGAGGCCCTAAAGTTGTCCGTGTTACATTGCTTTTCTGGCTGCCAGTTCGCTTTCAGGTTCAGTTCAAGGTTTTCTGGTTTTTTCCTTCCTTCCTTCCTTCCTTCCTTCCTTCCTTCCTTCCTTCCTTCTTCCTTCCTTCCTTTCTCCCTTCCCACTTTCCCTCTTTTTCTTTTTTCCTTCCTTTCTTCCTTCCCTCCCTCTTTCTTTCTTTCTCCCTTCCCTCCTTCCTTCTTTCTTTCTCCTCTCCTTTCTTCCTTCCCCCTTCCCCCTTTTTTCTTTCTTCCTTTCTTCCTTTCTCCCTTTCTTTTTTCTTTCTTTCTCCCTTCCCTCCCACTTCCTTCCTTCCCTCCCTCTTCCTTCCTTCCTTTTTCCTTCCCTCTCTCTTCCTTCCTTCCTTCCCTCCATCTTCCTTCCTTCCTCCCTTTCCTCCCTCTTTCTTCCTTCCTTCCTTTTTTCCCTTTCTCCCTTCCCTCCCTCTTTTTTCTTTCCCTTCCTTCCTTC